ATTACACAAACTTTTCATTATATTTTTGAAGATAGCAGGGTTCATGTCACTTAAGTCAAAGGTGTATATATACATATGTTACTCAGATAACGACAGCACTAAGAAAGAAGGTAACGCTCAAATGAAATGAGAGAGATGAATTCAAACCGGGAATTCTGGAAATGACTTTTAACACACAGAATCTGAGAACAATCTTGCAGTATTAACTGGACTTCACCGGGACGAGGGGAGAACGGGCACTAGGACGAAAGGTACCGGGGACAAGGGCCATAAAGGCACAAAGTAGAACACAGATGGCCAAGAGAGGCATTATTCCACTGAGGCAGAAAACCAGGGTTGGTGGGTGGGCACGGTATTTCCGGTTTATCTTTTCTCTCCGACCGCCACGGTGCAGCTGACGTCACTGCGAACCATCTCCCTGCACCTCAACCCGCCCCCCCTTCATTAGACCCAATGGGGCAGAGTCCCCATCTCTCTCTCTCGCTCTGTCTGCAGGAGTCTTCTCCGTGCTGGGTCCCCTGTCTCTGTCCTCTCCAGGCGAACCCTCCTCGTTTACAAGCACTAGGCAGTCATTCTCGTCTACTACTTGTATTCGCTGTGATCTATGACGAGGAGGGGGCCGCCCATCTTTTCCCGTAAAGGGCCAGACAGTAACCACTTCCGCTTGTAGGCCAAGAGGAAAAATCAAGATATATAATAAGATAGAAAACCAATCTCCACACATTTTTGTTAGTACAAGTCAAAATAAAATAACTGAGTGTGACTTTTGTGATACAGGTGTACTAATAGAAAAATGGAATTCTTTATGTGGCGGAGGGGGGTGTAACAGTTTGCTTAATTGGGGCTCAGAGTCAGTGTTCCTCATCATCCGGATCTAAAGCTAACGGCCCTCTGCAAATGCTGATCTGTAACGAGAGGCTCGTATGTCATCTGTGAAAATGTCTTCACAAAGATGGCTACTGGTATCAATTCATGAGCAGATGATTAAGTTTTATTTTCTTGAGAAAGATGGAGAGCACGTGGGAGAGGGCAGAGAAAAAGAGGGAGATGGAGAATCCCAAGCAGGCTCCGTGCTGCCAGCACAGAGCCCGACGTGGGGCTTGAACTCATGAGCCACGAGAACATGACCTGGGCCGAAACCACGAGTCGGACGCTTGACCGACGGACCCACCAGGCGCCCCTCGTGAGCGTATAACTTCAACTGAGCATGCTCCTCACTTGGAAGGCCTTTGCAGAACGCTCTGGGACTGTTCTGCTACTTGTGTTGAAGCAAGTCATTACACCGCAGATTAATCACTTCTAACTAAAGGTCAGGTGAAGTTCTCAATTGCCGATAAGCGGGCTTTAAACTCGAGGCAGCTCCTTAGCACTTAAATCAAATCCCCAAAACTGGTCCTAACTGCAGCTGGAGCTCAAAAGGTCTATTTGATACAAATTTATGTGGAAACGGAGACCTCGTTTCTTTTTACTTTCGACAGCATGAGAATTAGATAAAGCAACTTGACATTACCTGTGATTCAAACAACGTTAAATGTCAAAATGACGGCCCCGTAGTGTAAGTTTTACATGTAAGTGCTGGGTTGTCTTATAATTTGGGGTTAAATTTATTCTAAAACATGTCAAGTCTACAGGAGAAACGCATTTCAAAGCTATTCAATATTCTCTAATAATGGCTGAGGGTGGGGCTTTTTGTTCAGAAATGTTTCAATCTTGCCCTCTGCCACAAAGTGTTAACACCGCAAAAGCACTCAACGTATGTACAGCAGGTGGGGACACGCGGCTGTGGCTTCTGACAAAAATTCACGAACACGGTAACCGTTGTTTCCGTGACACTGAATAAAGTTGACCGGGGATATTACTGGTTCAGTAACAGACGACAGATTCAAATATTTGCTGCCAGCTACCTGCCGATTAAGACGACAAAGGACGTCCACGGGCGTTAGGCGCCTGATATCTTACATTATGTGTCAATCTGTCCACACACATTTTTACCGCTCTCCACCGCAATGCATCTTAGCAGAGAACATTCAGGTTGTACCAAATTAGTATCTTCTCGACTTCTCCGAAAATACTATGGACTATAATTATTCCACACAAACTATTAATAAAGGCCGATTCGTCAGGGACTTCAAACTCAGCCCCGACGCCTCAACTAACAACAACAGAGCACAATCTGTAACCTCTTTCAACTCAAGAGCCAAAACCAACCACTCAAAATCGTTTCCAGGTTTTCAAATCAACCACTGATGCTGTTCCCACTGCCCCCCATTCTTTAAGCAACTGTTCTCACCAAGGCTAACGGTCTGAGGCAAGTTCATTTTCTGTGAGCACGTCTCTCTGCGGCCACACACCTGATTTAATTAACCTGACGCTGGTAAGTGGCTTTCCTGCCTGCCTGACAAATGAGCCATCAGGAACTCCCTATGGTTGCTGCATCCTTTTCATGTTTCATTTCTGTGCCGAAATTCTGCGGTGAAAAGGTATTGTTTTATATTTGGTGACCTTCCTGACGGCTGCCTTCCTGTGGGCTAGGAATGCCGCGATCCGAGCTCAGAGCTCCCTGTGCAACATGGACACCCGCATTCTAGCAGGACAGCGGTGGTGTGGAGCCCGGTCACACTGGGCTGCCGTTTGGGTCGTTAACAATCTCATCTGCACTCCGCTTGCCTGAAAAGCACAGTACATAAAGTTTGCACGTGCATTCTTCCTGACAGGAATCATAAAGTGTCACGGTACAGCGATACGTATTGTGTTAGAAATGCTATCAAGTTAGGGCACCCGGGGGGCTCGGTTGGTTAAGCGTCCGACTTCGGCTCAGGTCATGATCTCACGGTTCGTGGGTTCGAGCCCCGCATCGGGCTCTGTGCTGACAGCTCGGAGCCTGGAGCCTGCTTCAGATTCTGTGTCTCCCTCTCTCTCTGCCCCTCCCCTGCTTCCGCTGTCTCCCTCACTCTTTCAAAAATAAACAGACGTTAAAAAAGAAGAAAGGCTATCAAGTTATAACCGTCACTGTGATTTGAAGGCTGCCAAGCAGCTGTGCAAAGCGTCGCGACTCACGTGTACATACGTGTCACCGTGTGTCACCGTGCCGGCTGTCGCAAGAGGCCAACTCCTCTGCCCTTGTAGTGCAAAAGCAGCCACTGACAACATACAGATCGGCAGGCATGGCCGCGTTCCAACAGAATTTTATGGACACTGAATTGTGAACTTTATGGAACATTCACGGGTCACAAAATATTCTTCTTTTGACTTTGTTTCAAGTATTTAAAAATGTAAAAACAATTCTTAGCTTGCAGGCTGTACAGAAGTAAGTAGGGGGCCAAATTTGAGCCGCAGGCCGTAGTTCGCTGAAAATTGATCCACAAGAGGAAGAACCCCAAGATGGGTAGTGCTACCGGCCCTCAGGAGCACCTGACTGACAGGTCTAACCCACTAAATGGATCACATGACAATTCAAAGCCAGTATGTGCAAATTAAACTAACCACCCTCCCCCTCCTCTACTTTCTCCTTCCCAAATATGCTTCCCAACTCGATTCGTCAACTACTAAGCACTGAATCCCACAAGTCAGGCCCTGGAACACGAGGAATCGTTCACACTGTCCCTTTTAAAGCCCCTCTTGAAATCAGACTGAAGTCCCAGCTCCCCAGCTGGCTCTCCACTCGAAGCCCCACTGTACACCCTCTCCCCTTCCCTACTGTGATCACCTTGGCTTCCTCCCTTCCTCAGAGGCCCCTCGTCCCCTCTTACCACAAACTTTCCACGGCCCTAAAACCACAGTGTTCACGCCTGGCTCCGTGAGAGACGCCTGAGCGATGGTGGGGGAAGGCAGGAGGAAGGAGCCAAGAGACCGATCGAGGCAGTCCCATTTCTGTCGTCCAGGCTCTCAGACACAGTGCCATTTTTAAAAATACACGAGACTTGCAGACCAAAATACCCCATGATTTGAGAAACGTGGCTGACTTCTTATCCGTGACACGTCAGGTGCCACGTGCTGGGACTCTCTCATCTGCCCACGCCCCTACTCTCCCCTCCATCGAGCCGCTCCACCCTGCACATTTGTGTTCACCACGCCCTCCCTGCCTCTTCCCCCTTCTTGGTTTAGCTCATTGACATTCGTCTCTGAAGGCTCCTCACTGACTTCACGCCTGGGAATGAATGTTCTACTTTCTTCATCTGGAATGAATGTTATACTTTCTCAGCTAAGTCTGAGGATATTACTTACTTGGCTTTGGACTGATCACCCGGAACAGTAAGAAAAGAGATCCTTTGTCTCTTACTACTGAATCTCCGGGATCTAGAGGGCAGTGCCTAGCACAGGGCACACGTCCCATAAATGTCCATCACGAGAACAAGACTTTGTACTAATTTTTAGACCCTGGGCCCCAGTGTTGTGTGTGGCACTCGGCAGGGACTCGACACGTGTGCTAAAAAAAAACAAACAAACCGTGAGACAAAAACTGGGGCCAGGAAACGAAGAGCCTGGAACGGCAGGCCCAGGGGTCGTACGTGGGGGCGTGCGGCCACCATCATCTCGTTCAGTCTTCACTCAGCTTCCCGTTTTCCTCCGCGCTCATTCCCGATCTCTTCTGCCACGTGGCTCAGGATGTGCATATAAAAGCAGATGAGCCCGGATGTGAAATGCGGCATCGCTTAAAGTGGCATGTGGCCACTTTGCAAAATGTGTAAAATTCCAAGTAGTAAAAGAATACCACAGATCAAATATATTGGGAGAATCGTGAAAAGAGAAAATCCTGAGCACTTTTTCTAGAATTTAAATGTCTGGATTTAGTATCGACTTGCCTATTACAGAGCATAAAAGATTCCAGTGGAAAGGTACCAAATTACCCGGGGGGGGGCGGGAGGGAGGACAATTTACATGCTGTGAAATTCAGTGGTATTCTAAATAATAACTACATTTAAATAACGCTTGAAAGAAACTAATGCTAAATTCTGCTGATAAAAATTAAGACTATTGAAACATATAAAAGTGGTTCTTACTAAGTTATTGTCATCCTGGAAAGCATAATGCAGGGTTGTAATCCATTTATTATCTCCATTCACTAACACGTCCCTTTCTTCACGAAAACATGCTGTCTGAAAAGGAAAAACAAACACTTTTTTAATCAGAGGACACGTCACGTAAAACTAGGCAATATATTATACAAACAATTGCTTAAGATGTTTGTTATGCTTTCCGTCCTGGAAAAGGAGTACATCCAATGTTCCAGGACTTTTCTACAGGTCAAGCACCCTCAGGAAGTGAGCGGCAGGAATTATACCTTGAAAACATTCTCTCTTGAAAACTCCTGCTGTAGTTCCAAACAACCAGAAAAGTGCACAGATTCATTTCACAACCACGGCCCATTTAGGTAATATAAACGGTAACATTTTGCCATCTTTACTTCTGTTCTTTTTAATTTTAAGGACATGAAATATAAGTAAGTGGTAATCTTCCTCCTTTCACCCTGCCCCACCCTCCTCCCTTGATAAAATGACTCATCCATAGTATATGTTATATTCTCCCCATCATATGCTTGGATCACACGTGTACGTGTCCAAAATCAACAGAATTGCTTTGCATTTGAAAATTTCCCATGAATGTTATCACTTGATCTTTCCTTCTGCAACTCAATTACTTCTTGTTCCATGATGGCTATTTTCCTTTCAACGGCTGTGACATTCCGTCGTTTGAATCTTCCGGAATTTATTCACGCAAACCCCCAACCAGGAAAACAGCTACCTCCGATTTTGTTATTACGATGTTGCAATGAACATATTTGTGCTAGTGTGCAAGAATCTCTCTAGGGTATACACTTAGAGGTTGAAATGCTACCCAGAAGCATTTTCAACTTTACCAGACGGAGCCAATTTTCTCTGCTACGTCTGTGCTGATTACTACCCTCTCCCCGGTGTAGAAATCTCCCCTATTCCCCACATCCTCAACTGCATTTGACATTAAAAGGCTTTGAAATGTGTCAATACAATGGGTGTAAATCCATATGTCACCGCTCTTTTCATTAACGTATTCCTAATTACCCATACAGATAAACAGCTTTACGTACGCTTACTGGATAACCGAACTTTCTCTTTGTTCATTCCCCTTTGTCCATTTCCTGTAACGGACTGTTTTTTCCTTTTTGATTTATAAAAGTTTTAGCTTATTGTGAGACTGTATTTCCAGTATTATAAAGGTAGAACCTCAGAAATGTGGTTTTATATGGTTTTTATGTGGTTTTATATGATACATTATAATTCTATAATGTTTGTCTATTTTTGAGAGAGAGAACACGAGTGGGGAGTGGCAGAGAGAGAGAGAGGGAGACACAGAATCCGAAGCAGGCTCCAAGCTCCGAGCTGTCAGCACAGAGCCTGACGTGGGGCGTGAACCCACAAACCGTGGATCATGACCTGGGCTAAAGTCGGACGTTTAACCGACTGAGCCACCCAGGTGCCCCGATAATCTATCATCTTTAGTTTTAATTTTAAAAAAACACCACACCGGAAAGTTCAAAAAGAACCGAAGGCTGAAAGTAAAATCTCAATCTGCTGAGTCACACCCTTTCAGTGTCACGCGCCTAGAACTCTGTGCGGTGTCTTCTTAGAAAATCTGTGTCCCTCTGTGTGAACACACGTGTGCACGTGAACACATGCAACATTCACGTGGTACCTCGCCTCCCCTACCTTTTCTTTTCTTTACGCAAATCAGGCCACAGTGCTCTGCAAGTTATTGTTTTTTCAAGTAACGATACACCCAAACAGTTTTCCAAACCAGTACGCAGGCACCTCCTTCCTGGCTGCATACTCCACGCACACTGAAAAACCATCACGGTATTCTACCTAGAGGAGGTGCTTACTTACTGATTTCCCAAAAGATAAATTCAGCCACGACACACAAAACAATTAACATTACCTAATCGAGTACCCTAATTCTTTCCATGTATTTCCATAAAATTCTATTTGCTCAAACAAAACTTCCAAAGCCATGCGTGAAATAGCACCAGAGAAAATTTTAAAAATCATTAAACCAGGGGCGCCTGGGTGGCGCAGTCGGTTAAGCATCCGACTTCAGCCAGGTCACGATCTCGCGGTCCGTGAGTTCGAGCCCCGCGTCGGGCTCTGGGCTGATGGCTCAGAGCCTGGAGCCTGTTTCCGATTCTGTGTCTCCCTCTCTCTCTCTGCCCCTCCCCCGTTCATGCTCTGTCTCTCTCTGTCCCAAAAATAAATAAACGTTGAAAAAAAAAAAAATCATTAAACCAAATACATGGGCAGTTTTACCTGCCGTTTCGATTACTAAGGTCCACACGATGCTCTGGTTCACTTTAGAGGGAAAACAGAACCATCCGACACACTCACTGCTACGTTCTGTTTCAGAATTTGCGTGACTACAATTACAGTCTGAGAGAGAGAGAGAGGTAAGGACTGTCGGAGCCCAGAAGACTCCTTTCTCCTGACCATCTTGTTAGGACAGCTTTCTGGAATCTCAAAGACATTCCAGCTAACTTCTAAAACACGTTTGATAGGCGACTCCAAAGCAAATCAAGCTCCAAAGACTATTTGTCAACAGATGAAACTTCAGTATATTCTAATCTATTCTGAACTGTTCCATGAAAAAACAGTTTTTAAAAATATAAAATAAACTACGACCCAGAACTTCAAACACATACAAGAGAAGAGAGTAAAACCACCTCTTCCCCACAATATACTCATCAACCAATGTCAGCAACTATGTCATTGTTCCATCCATACCCTTTTACCCCCTCACCCTTGTCACCACCCTCCCTCCATGGAAATGCATGTGTGTGCACATGTACACACACACACACACACACACACACACACAGAGCGTTTTTTGAAGCAAACCTCAGATACCATATGATTTTATCCGTAAGTATTTAGATATTAAACTAGTCCTGTTAATGCCTCAGATACTGAGTTTAGATGTAGAACACAGTCTCCTTTTTTGCCCCAGTAGGTCACATTGTCCTCAGTTGTCACAACTGGGGTGGGGGTGGTTAGGACAATCGCACGGGAAGAGGCCGGGGATGCTGCTACGCATCCTACAATGCACAGGACAGCTTATGCCCCAAGGAATTATCCAGTCCCAATGTCGCAGTCACTGCGGAGAAGCCCTGTTCTCAACCCATATTAGCCAAACCACGATGCATGCGTTACCTCAGGCTTCGTGAAGTTCTAACAAGGACTCCACGTGCATAAATAGGTGGGGATCCGCTACCGAGGAGTTTAATCTGAGGAGTGGATAAATTTTAGTCTGCACAACATGAAAATCCCGCCATGTAAAAACGATCCTTGAATCCCTTCACAACCTCAGTACACAAACTAAAGCACCACAGAAGCCAACAGCAGCGTGGCGGACCATGAGCATCTGATCCCGTCTCGTTCTTATTTACGCCGCACGTGCTTCTGAGGTGTGGTGAGTCGCTCTGATGCGCTGTCTTCTCACATTCTGAATCTTCTCTCTGCCAGCCGCACGTAGTCAGATGTGCTGAAATGACTGAATGTGTTGATAATTTGATTCCACCTTACTGAGAATTCACACTTTGATTAAACTCGCTATTCCAAGGTATACGTATAAAGATTTTGACTACAGCACAGTTCAAGAGAGTAAAAAGATAGTAAAATGTGGACATAATCTAAATGGCCATCAATGTTTGTTTTTTTTTTTTTAATGTTTTTATTTATTTTTGAGAAGAGAGAGACAGAGCATGAGCAGGGGAGGGGAGAGAGAAAAAGGGAGACACAGAATCGGAAGCAGGCTCCGGGCTCCGAGCTGTCAGCACAGAGCCCGACACGGGGCTCGAAATCACAAACCATGAGGTCATGACCTAAGCCAAAGTTGGACGCCCAACCAAGTGAGCCACCCAGGTGCCCCGGCCATCAATGTTTAAAAAAAAAACAATCAAACTACTAAAAAATATATCCATTTAGTATAATGAGACGATTTAACAGGCTGAGATAAATGTATAAATATGGAAATAGAAAAATCCAACATATGTATTATTAAATGATAAAAGCAATGTGAAAAATCAGTCTTTTAGTATGAGTCCATTATAATAAAACTTTCCATTAAGGACAAATATGAAACTCTTAATAATGGTTTACTTTGAATAGAAAGATTAGACACTGGAAGAAGGAAAGGGACCTTTCATATTTTTACTTCTTACTTTTTTTACTTCTTTACTTTTTACTTCTTTACTTTTCTGTCATGCTTACTTTTTTTTAATGTAGGTGGCAGATCAGGAAATAAGGCAGATCAAATCCAATGGCCTCAATTCATGAATATCACTATTACTGGCACCAGTCGTTATGAAAATAATAAAGGAATAACAACAGTAACAAAAATAATAAGGCAAGTGGCATAAACCGGTACCATCACCGTTCAACCAAGATACATTATTCCTCTGTGACACAGAGATCATTATCATCTTCTGTAATCAGCAAGACAACAAAACCCTGGAAAGGACTAACTCCAATGGAGAGCATTTCTGTCAACTATTTCACACCTTCCAGTGAAATGAGTGAGGACACCTCCTATAAAGCACTGAATAACTGTGAAGAGAAGGTAACATTTACAGAACATATTGGAAGAAGTTCAGGGACTGTTGACAAAGTCTGAGGATGATGAATGAGCAGAGACAACAGTCTCTGAACATAAGACATTAGCAATTATTCAGCTGTCCAGAAAGATAGAGGGTGTCCTACGACCTTCAAATAATGCATGTCCCACTAATTACGTATTTGTTATGCACCTTAAATGGAAATAAATACAGCCAGTAGGTTGGAGGTAAATCTTTGAAAACTTATTTTGTTTCACTTCATTTCATTTCATTTCAGAGACAGCGAGCAGGCATGCAAGCAGGGACAGAGGCAGAGGGAGAGAGAAAATTTTAAGCAGGCTCCATGCTTGGCACGTAGCCCGATGTGGGGCTCGATCCCACGACCCTGGAATCATGCGTGACCTGAGCCAAAATCAAGAGTCGGACACTCAACTACTGAGCCACCCAGGCACCCCTGAAAAACTGGTCTGAAACATCAACAATGCACAGGTTAAGAATCAAGACACGTTGCTGCTCAACTGTAAATTATCAAGCATCATGAGTGGCCCAGTTTCCCAAAGCTGGAGAGGTCATGGTCAGAGTAGCGTTTTTTTTTTTTTTTTAACATTTGTTTAAAAAAGGACTTGATAATTCAAGCACAGAAATACAATTCCACTCTAGTTCAAAATGAATCTCTCTTTAAAAATTTCAGTGTAGGGGTGCCTGGGTGTCTCAGTCAGTTAAGCATCTGACTTTTGGCTCAGGTCATGATCTCACGGTTCATGAGTTCAAGCCCCAAGTCAGGCTCTGTGCAGACAGCTCGGAGCCTGGAGTCTGCTTTGGATTCTGTGTCTCCCTTGCTCTCTGCCCCTTCCCTGCTCATGTTCTGTCTCTGTCCCTCAAAAATAAATAAATGTTTAAAAAAAATTTAATAAAAAAATTTTTTTTTAATTTCAATGTAGAATTTCTTTAATGCAAGTTTCAAATAGTTCCTTTAGAATACTGAATCTGCCTTGTATCCTTGAAGTAAAACCCACCCATCATTGGTATATGCACAAATCTTTTTATATATTGCTGAATTCTATTTGCTGACATTTTGCTAAGGACATTTTTATCTATGTTCATGAGGCATTTTGGTCTTTAATTTCTTTGTATGGTCCCTGTCTGGCTTTCCTATCCGAGTAATACTGACTTCCCAGAGTAAGTGCTGTTCCTCAGGCCCCACGGTCCACCTCCTTCTCTCTGCCTTCCAGTGTCTTCTTGTACTTGTTTTATATATAATGTCCAAGGCCTTGAAGACTGTACTTAAGGGGAGGGATAGGAAGAAATACATTTATTCCATCTTGCCCCGGGAAGAAAATACACTAACATTTCTTAATTCAACAAAATTATATTTACTTCCCAATTATTCCTTGTTTTATCTTCCATTTGGGCCACTTCTTCCAGTCAAAGGTGGATCAAAGGCAACCCAGTGACCTTCCTCCCCGGCACACCAACTTCAAAGAAAAGAGTGCAGACCTTAACTCCGTTTTTCACAACTCCAACGCCAAACCACTAAACTGACTATAAATGATTTCCTCGAAACAATTAGAACACGCTTATTTACTATTTCTTACTAGTAAGACCTGTAGCGCCAGCCGCTGCCAATGCCGCCAGCATCTCTGGCTGCAGAAACTCTACTGTCCGGAGGCCACGTACTTCAGGGGATGGCCCGTAGTTGGTGACCGAATACGGCAGGTACGAAAAGGCCAGCCCTCTGGCCTCACGTGGGGCTCCGTGGGACCGCTTCTGCTCCACAGACAGCCTGACTTCTCCCCGAAAACATTTCACCCCCTTTCCCTCCCGTCGGTCCCCATCTCAGAAGAATGCCCTAATTCAGTCTCCGTGTTCACCACCTGGAAAGTCCAACCAGCGACAGTAAGGCAACTCGGTGTTAGGGAGATTCGAAAGTAAAGACCGAAGTTACTGAATGTAACGGACACTGGCGCATACGCCAGAAAGAGACACAAGCGTCGCCAAATGCTTTTCTCAGCGGTTACTGTCCCGGGGAGAGGGGCTGCGTGGAGTGGGGCGTGGTCAAAGAAGACTTCAGCTCCATCTGTAATGCGTTAGTGTTTGTTTTACAAATAACGTATCTGTATTTTGCTTCTGTAGTTTGCGTGTGTGTTCCCCCCCCCATCCCAGGACACACATAGAAAATAAGACTGAAAGCAACAACTTCCCCGGAACGTTAGTGATTAATTCCAGGTGGTAGAATATAAGTGACTGTTAGCAGCTTCTCCGTGTTTTTTTTTTTTTTAATTTATTTATTTATTTATTTATTTTTCCAACGTTTGTTTATTTTTGGGACAGAGAGAGACAGAGCATGAACGGGGGAGGGGCAGAGAGAGAGGGAGACACAGAATCGGAAACAGGCTCCAGGCTCTGAGCCATCAGCCCAGAGCCCGACGCGGGGCTTGAACTCACGGACCGCGAGATCGTGACCTGGCTGAAGTCGGACGCTTAACCGACTGCGCCACCCAGGCGCCCCTTCTCCGTGTTTTGTTACATTTCTCAAACTTCCCAAAGGAAACAACTGACAAAGTATTTCACTACTGTCCCATCTACCACCAAGGGAACCTTTTTTGCTTTTCTCCGTATGCTTGGTACCTTCCAGGTTGCTTCAAGTACTGGTCGGTAAAGATTCCTTTTCTTTTCTTTTTTTTTTTTTTTTTTATTTGTTTTTGAGAGCAAGACAGAGCATGAGAGGGGGAGGGGCAGAGAGAGAGGGAGACACAGAATCAGAAGCAGGCTCCAGGCTCTGAGCTGTCAGCACAGAGCCCGACGTGGGGCTCAAACCCACAGACCATGAGATCATGACCTGAGCGGAAGTCGGACGCTTAACCGACTGAGCCGCCCAGGCACCCCTGGTAGGTGAAGATTTCTAAGCGCTGTTTCTCGTTAGAGAACTCTAACCTCCAGAACTAATATTCAGCCTGCTCGGCAGTATGATCCTCCTACAGGTTCAAATACTGAAATACGTGCACACCAGTAAGTTCTGCTTCCCTGAGGCCCCCCACCCAGCCCCCCACCCAGGATCGAACACGGCAGGACACCTCCAGAACCCCACCCCAAATTTATGTGTAACGTCAGTTCTGACCATACTGTACCAGCAATGAGACATTTGTAACCTCACTCCGGCCGATCTCTCCTTCGTGTCTAGGACCAACACAGAAACACCAGCAGCTGCTGCAAGAGCAGATTTTACTACCGTCCTCTAATCACGTAAAAACACAAATTTAACTGTGTAATCGGTAGTAACGGGAAGTCTCAGAGGGCACACTCAAAGCTCGGGCTGACCTCTGCTTTGAGCAGAACACAGATAGATACAGAATATAAACAAGTTACATCAAGCTGGAAATCAATCATTATTTCTTCCCATAAAAGTTTTAAACAGGTTTCCAAACACCCTTTTCACATGAATATTTAAGCGCCACATTACAGGGTTTCCATTTGGCTTTCAGAGATATGAAATTACACGAATTATAACTTTTATCATCACTATATCACAACTGTAAATTGCTGAATTTGTTATCTTAAAAATAATGTTACTACAGATACAATGTTACTGAATGATTTAAAGATCTATGGGTCTCTGTAATTTTATAGGTCTCTAAAATCATTTCTAAAACATTATTTAAACATTCCAATAATGAGAATCTTACCTCAGCTCTTTTCAGCATTTCCCATTTATTCAATATTTTCATGGCAAATACCTTATCTGCATTTTTTAGTTTCACTACAGCAACCTAGAAAAGGAAAGACAACTTTTAAAATATGACAAATACAACTTTTTTCAGTTACCCATTTTCCTTTTTCCTCTCTGTAAAAAAGTAAATACCAAAATTATCAATGACTTCCATGCAGTTCGTAATCTAAGATCCTAAATCAAACGTACTGTCAGTTGAAAAAGTTACATTAGTCAACATGTGCCAAACAAATGTTATTTTTTAACACCATATCAACTAATTGTTTACTGTATCCTCCTTTTCCAGTTTTCTGCTCTAGAATTTAAACTCAGCATCTACTATCACTAGGAAATTGACCAAAATGTACAACATTGGAATGACTAGAGCTTGTTAAATACCGCATGCCAGATTCCAACATGATGCTGCACGGAATCCTGTTGCCAACACAAGTCTGTTTTGTGGGAATCAATTAATATAAAGTAAACTGCAAATGAGATTATTTTTCACACCACATACTCTTACCCCCGCCCCCGTCTGTCCGTCTGTCTGTCTGTCTGTCTGTCTCTCTCTCTCTCTCTCTCTCTCACACACACACACACACACACACACACACCCCTAAAGATCAATTAAGGCTAACAGCTCTACAAATTGTAGACTTCACACGTTCCTTTCCAACCATAAAAGGAACAAACATTTTTGTATTTTTTTGTATTTTAGTTACGGACCAAAAAGCTGTCAAATAAAAATAAATAAGCCTCAACAAACTGATTACCTTTCTGTTTCTGCCTCTCTGCTTCCCTTTGACTAGATAATTTCAAAGGGCCCTTCCAGCTCCCTGGGGGTGCACTAGGGCTCAGCCTGAACTACAGAAGTGGAGACCTAGGTGGCTTCCAGTCACTGGGGGCGGGAAAGGGGAAGATAAACGCTACCCTGATAGGCAGAAGCAGAAAACAAACTATACGCAGCACCTCTTCCAACTAGTTCAAAGGGATGTTTCCAAGGATAGTGAATAGGTTTAAACTCAAGTGTCAAAATTTTAAAATCTCAACAGCAAATGTACATATTGGGAGCACTTCATAAATCTGTATTTGGATTAGATTGCAATAAAAGTAACATGACCATAGAACCAAAATCACTGTATGATGCCATTACACAATGCAAACTAGAACGTTTCTTGGTAATTGTCGTAAATGGTTACGATATCTTGTGATTAGAGTTTTTCATCCGTTAAAATGGTAGGAAAGAAGAGGAATATCTCAATTTCAAGTGCAAGCACTTTAGTCTTTAGTCATTTCTGGTCATATCTGCGGAAATGACGGGTCAGCGAAACTGTTCTCCCAATGGGTTCATGCTTAAAGAAAGGGGGCTGTCCATGGCCCAGCAACAATCTAAACGTCCACTGCCAGATGAACAGATGAAGAAAATGTGGCACACACATACAATGGGATATTATTCAACCACAAAAAAGACGGAAATCCTGCTTCTATGACAACTCGGATGAACCATGAACCTGGAGGGCATTATGCTAAGTGAACTAAGCCAGACACAGAAAAACAAATACCGTGTGATCTCATTTATATGTGGAATCTAAGAAAAGTCAAACTCATGAAAACAGAGAAGAGAAGGAAGGTTGCCAGGTGCTGGGGGTGGGGAGGTGTTGGTCCAAGGGTACAAAGTTCCAGTTGTAAGATGAATACGTTCTGGGCACGTGACGTACAGCATGGTGACTACAGTTAACAGTATTGTGCTACACACTTGAAAATTGTTAAAAGATCTTAAATGTTCTCACAGCAAGACAACAAAAGGTAATTATGGGAGGAGATATTAACCATCCTGTGGTAATCAGTTTGCAATATATACAAGTATTGAATCATTACTTAGTACACCTGAAACGTACACAATGTTGTATGTCAATAACATCTCAATAAAGATGGGGGGGGCGGATAAAGGACACTATAAATAAAGAGCAAGGAGAAACTTGAAATATTGTTTCACCCAAACCTCTGAAAGGCTGGAAACAAGTTTAGCTGCTCGGTAGATTCAAACTATGTGCTGGGAGTGCAGACAGACGGGAGCGCTGAGTTCGACACGCTTCCGTTCAGGAGACAGGGAAGGGACCCCGCCTATCACTCAAGCTGTCCTTATTCTGATCAGGGAAAGAAAGACTTAAGATTCCCCCTCCTCAGATTGCCTAGCTCCGTGCGTCTCACCAGGTCTGTGTTTGAGCACAGAAGTTTCTGGTGATCACTGGGAAGAGAAATCGCTGTAGTATCCGAGCATGTTCTAAATGCCAGCTACTCCCCTAAGAGTCTGATGCCGGTCCACAAGCCCCTACCTGCAGTTCTAAAGCCAAAAGACTTTCACAAGCCATCCGGCAGCAGGTTCTGACATCAGGCTGATTATAGGTTTTGGGGTTTTGGTTCTTTGATCTCATTCAGTATAAAGACAAGCATGCTCCACTGGAGAAACACGAAAGCCCCTGCTTTTGAGGTGCTGGTCCAAACCCCAACCGGCTCCCAGGTGAAACAGAGCAGAAGCACTGAATTATTGTCCTCAAATCCAAAAAACACTGGACCCAACACCGCCTGTGGGTCACAGAGCTGTGCGGGGAATTAGCATTCACTGACCACCACCAGGCGCTGGAGCTAGCGTCTCGGGTGGCTGCTCAGGGCGGCCGTGACGCACTCTGCGGGCAGACCACTGGGCTGGAGGCCTGGCTCTGTCATTAGCTGTGTAACTCTGGGCGCATAACCTTCCAGAACTTCACTTTCCTCATCCGCGTAACAGCTAATGCACTAACGTACAACGTACGAAAGGTACTCACCTTTTAGAACTGCGGTAAAGATGAAACTAACACAAGCGCAAACTGCTTTCAACTCAGTGTTCAACAAGCGCCAGCCGTTATCCTGTGAGGCACCGCACCAAGCACAGCACGGCCCAATGCCTTCACCGTCGTCTGCTCGACCCCAGTTACACATCCCAACTTATTTACGTTAACTATGAAATAAGAAACTCCAGCCTCTTCAGCTACTGATAATTTTGTATCTGTGGTGGCACACAGAAATAGAGCTAGAAATAGCCTCAACTGAAAATATAAACAGGGGCGCCTGGGTGGCTCCGTCGGTTAAGCATCTGACTTCAGTTCAGGTCATGATCTCGCGGTCGGTGGGTTCGAGCCCCGCGTCGGGCTCTGTGCTGACGGCTCAGAGCCTGGAGCCTGCTTCGGATTCTGTGTCTCCCGCTCTCTGCCCCTCCCCCCGCTCATGCTCTGTCTCTCAAAAATGAATAAACGATTAAAAAAATTTTTTCTAAATAACTAAAAACTATATTTTATGGTATGGCCTAGAAGATGATAAATTTAACACAGAACGTGTAGTTTTTAAAAACACCAAAGATGTCTCTTCAAAGGCTTCATATTTAAAGCACTCCACTGTTAGAAAAGCTGGAAACACTACAGAAAAAATCACCAAGTGACAAATATACATAAATGAATGAGCTCTTAAACACAGCTTAAGTCTCTGCACTCACAGCCGCAACACGCAACACGGGATTTCTCTCTCTATACTAAACACAATTTCAATATGCCAAGCACCAGTTTCCCTGCGGGGCTCAGATCTAGTCTACACTCAGTAAATCCAGGGTTCACCACACCTCCTCCGGCCCATTCCGTTCAACCTGCCGTCACATCTTGCCCGGACGGTCCTACCCGGCCTCTCCGCTTCTGCCCTTGACCCCCACGGTGTCTTCCCAGCCCAGCAGTCAGAGTGATCCTGCGTCAACGTGGCTCAGATCAGGACACTCCTCTGCTCCAAGACCCCCAACGGTTTCCCATCTCCCTCCAAGTAACCGTCAACCTGCCATAACTCCTCAGGCCAGCACATTCTCGTCTTCCCACCTCCCACATCTCACACGCCCTCCCTGGTTCACTCTGCTCCACACATTCTGGTCGCCTGGCCCAGTCCCAACCCAGGGCATCTGACCTCATTCCCTAGGTCTCAGGCAGTCTCTCCCATAAAGTGACATGGGCTGCTCCCTCAAACTGAATTGACAAGCGTCCCTTCCTGAACGGTCGCTGCCCTGTCACTCTTTCTAGACCATCTCTTGCTTCCCTTTACCCTTCACTCTTATTTGACAAACTGCATATTCTTCTGTATTTTACCACTTGCCTTCCTCACTAGAATGCAAGTTCTATGATGGCAGAGATCACTCTTTCTCCTCTGTTCACTGGCATATGCCCAGTGCTTGGGAATCAACAGGTACCTGGTTAAGTACCGGATGGATAAACGATGAGTATTTGTCATCTGAGTGGGAACTTGTACGAGGAAAGTTACCGGGCATCAATATTAGTGGCTTCAAGCACACTGCTAAACTGCCACTAACATGCCAACCAAAACAGGGCACTGCGGTCAGAGAGGCAATGGTGTCACTGAGATCGCTTGTGTGGGAGGCCACTCCAGCCCCTGCTGCTCTCGGGGCAAAACGCAGGGCCTCCCAAGTCTTGACTTCACAGCCTGCCCTTCATCTCCTGCCTGTGGCTACTGTTCACTATTTACTGCCTCGTGGCTCCGTCTCCTTATCACCTCCAATGTACAGCATCCATCATCATTCATCATTAATAATGATGACAAAATAATAAAACCACTCTTATTTAGGGCAAGCGTCCTCTGTGCCTGACACTGGGCCGTGCACATTTCAGGTACGCCCTCAGGGCCTACACCGCTGGACTGCAGGGTCCGACCGTGCTCGCTGCCTGATCACAAAGGCAGTGCTCTCTAGACTACAGGTACTGAGCCATTCCACGGCCCTGAAGACGTCCTCCCACGCCCCACGCCCATAACCCTGATGCCTACCGACTTGTTAATGGTGATCGTTGTTAATATGTGTGGAAGACACTGTATTTGTTTCTTATACTGTTCTGTTAGTGACCAGTTGGTGTTCAAAATATTTACTGGAAAAAAAACCCCAAAACTAAGTCTCTTTGACAGGCAACCTAGGGTTTCCTAACAGCTAGAGGTATGCTCTCCACGGAGACACAATTCATATACACGGTAGCCATAGTC